GATGTGACAGAAAGAGCAGCTCACTCATTTCCTCCCTTCTTGCTTTCTCTTCAGAGATAGATTCAAAGCACTTTGAAAACACTGAATCCAGCCTTTTTTCTTATCGCGTGCAGTACTTTGTGTGATAGCTGTGGGAGCTACACGCCAACTCTACAAAACTTAACAGGAAGCAGATTTTACTCGATGAATGATGTCATTACTAACAATGATTTTTGCATCATGCCATTGAAGGATTATGTGTTGTACAGTAAAATGTGTCTGCAGTGTATCAGTCGGTATAGGTCAACAAGTTTGACTGTTGTGTATATAAACTAAAAACTATTAACACTTTAACTGCTTGCTTCTAACATGCAATTTTTAACCTTCTTGTATTTTTTCTGTCTCTGACTGTTATCTGTAAAAACTGTCTCTGAATATACAGTACGTGTGCATATTAACACTGCTACTACTGCTATCTATGTTTGGTTTGGTACCTATGTTTTTTGTTTAATAACTCCTCCCAGTGTCTTCTAATATGTTAATGAAATAAATGGAAGATGTGACTAAAAACTAACCTCTCCCTTTGCTTCTTTGCTTCATTTCCAAGTCTTCTTTCACTCGCTTTGACAGTCTTTCACTACATCTAACAGCACTAATAAACCTCTGTCTTCACACACTGATTGTGGGATAACTCTGAATGTAAATGACATGTTTGAATGTGCACAGAGAGAGTTTAATGTTCGAGTTTCTCTATAGTTATAATGTTTAACTTTACTTCAACTCCCCATTTAGCATTTATAAGCATATTTAAATGATATAACACACAAACAAATCTTTAGTGTGTTCATTTACAGGCCGACCCAGACAAAAATGGTCAATTCCCTCAAGGTGCACTTACTAGATTTCTCCCAGAGCTTTTGGCCACACCTCATGGCCTTCATCAGCTGATGGAGTCTAGTATATTTATAGTATATAGTAAAATTATGGTAGTCCACTAGGGGTCGCCAAAGCTTCATGGGGAGTTGCAAGGCCGTCTTGATTTTAAGAGGTGTCAGAAAACTTAAAAAATGTACACATTAATTCTGTGAGAAACTAAATAAAATTGTTATTTTAAAAGTTGAGATTATTTTTTAAGACATAAACTAAGAAGACCTGAACACAAGTTATATTCACGGGGCCGTCAACCTCTGATAAACAGCCTTGTCCTGCATTAGAGAAGTTAAAACAACCAAAGAGCTGATAGAACAATGGCCAAGTGTCAGGGAGAAGAAAACACTATGTCTGCCAAAAAATGCAGATAAATAGCTGTTAAAAATATTTTTACAACATAAAACAGACAGAGAATTGTATAAAAAGTATCAAAAATATCAGGAACACTCAATAATCACACGAAATAATCTGCTCAAAATTCATACAAATCGCTGGCTTTACACAAACTCCATAAAGTGGTTCATCCGTTTGGGCCAGTGGTTCCCAACCTGGGGGTCGGACCCCCCACTGGGTGTCTTGATTTTAAGGGGTGTAAGAAAACTTTAAGAAATATACACAGAAGGCCTAAATCTCATTGTCCTACATTTAAAAAAAAGTACGCAGTTATAGCAACCAAAGAGGTAATAGAACAAACGTCAGGGAGAAGAAAACACTAAGTATGTATGATTGTTATAAATACAGAGAATTGTCTAAAAGGTTCCTAAAAGTAGCAGGAAAACTGATCTCTAAATAATATTCACAGGAAATAATCTGCTCATTTTGCTCACAAACTTCCTGCAGTTGTTGTGTTCACTGTTTACAGTTCATCAGTTGTTCTGTGCTCTTATTGTTACGCATCGAATATAATATGAAATATACATAAAACATGTCACTTAGTAAGTGGTTATCAGTTTAGTTTAATGAGGAAAAAGGTTGGGAAGCACAATGATCCTTATAAGCATTTAATACAAGTTACTGAGTCTAAGTCTTATACTCTCTCTTTCTCACACTCACACGTACATAAACAGGGAAAACCAGGAATGTTCATTCCCCTTTTTTTTAATTAGCCAAGCCTGGGAGCTCTCATGGGACACAAAAGAGTTCAACTGCTTTTGTTATTCCCCCAAGATTCAGCGGTTACCATGGCCACATGAAAAGTAAAGGCCCAGAATTTGAGAGAGTTGAAAGAGGGAAAGCTTCACAGTGCCTCCGCCTGTTTTTGCCCCTTCCATTCATGAGGCTTTTTCATACCCAGGGCTCCTCTGCTTTCTGTTTTTTCCTCCCTGCTTGTATTCACTTTAATATAAAAGACGTTTTGACTGTGTGTCAGACTTTTCTTTCTGTGGAAATCAAGTCTCAAGTGGCATCATTTTCATCCTTTTTTTTTCTTTTTGTGGTTTGTTTTCTTCACCAGGAGACGCCACATACCTTGACATCTTCCGAGAATTTTCCCACATGGCGTCCCACAACCCAGAGAAGCTGAAACGAAGGAGTGTGCACTTCCGACACTCCTTCAGGTAGTCCGCCAAGCGTCTGGAGGGAAGCAAAAATCGTATACTTGAAAAGTGCAGCAGCCACTTTCCACATGTAGTCACAATTGGAGGTTGCATCAGTCCAACATCACAAGTCATTGAAATTTGAAACCGCTTCTAGAAAACCCTGATAAAAAAAAAAAAGGATCATTATCATTTATATTCCTTATGAGATTTTAAACTTTAAAGTGGATCAAAGTGAAGGAAATCTGTCCGGTTTTGGTGACGCTGTTTGTTCAGTGTTTAGAATAGCTGCATTATAGAGTCTTGTGCTGTTCTTAGATCGAGCTTTTATTTTGAAATGAGGATTTGCTGGTCTTTTCCCTCATAAATACATATATAAATATAGTATTGCTTTTGTACAGTTGTTAGATGAAACTTTTATTAAAATCCCAAGCACTTGTTTTGTTTATTTTTCTTTATTATTGTTGTTGTTTATTTTTTTGTATAAATGATTTGTTTTGCTGCATCAGTTTCATCATTCGGATCAACATATGTGATTCCCTGAAGGCCTTTTCTTCAATACTTTACATAAATACATGTTTCTGTGTTTGTAATGCATGCATTTACTCCCATTATATTTCATACTTAAACTTGAATTCAGCTACGTGTCATATCATCATTAGTTATCATCAACAATCCAATGTCTTGAAGTCTTCTTTGTCTCCATGAGCAGTTCATTTGCTGATGAAATGTGTTTTTTTTTTTTTTTTTTTTGACTATGCTGGTGTAGTCTTTGTAATATTGTTGTTTAAATGTCAGTACCACTATGAAATGCAGTGCTTATGTTACTGTGTACATGCTGTAGAAGCAAAAAATGCTAATATATCTGAATGAACAGGGATACTGATGGAAAGATGGATGAAAATAAACATTTTGTCTGTGTTTACACACATTTTCTCAGTTTTTTGAGCAACCTGTTGACTAAACCTACATCACAACATGGAGCTAAGTCAACAGCTCCACCTTGTGGTGAAACGTGAGATTAGGGAGTTGCAACCTCCCAGCCCTGCATGACAACTATAACACTAGTGGGCTTTATTGTTTTTAGAGTGAGAGGATAGTTATGAAAATCCAGATTTATTATATACACACTCGTGAAACAGTCTCTCACGTCTGTTGATTTTAATTTTTTAAATTAAAGACTGAAAATTACAGCCCACAATAAGGGTTTTTATTGTAGTATTACGAGATAATTTAGTGGAAATAATGATTACTATCCATTAGTATTTAGCAACTGATGTTATTGTGAATTTAATGTGTACATGTTCCTCTGACAGTGGTGGAAGAAGTACTTACATAAACGTACCCCACTGTAAAAGTTAGACTTAAAAGTTAAAGTCCAGCATTCAAAATCTTATTGAAGTATAATTACACAAATAAATGGAACCAAAAATAAAATTACTCATAAATTACTGCAGAAAAATGTCAGCTGTGACTGATGTTTTATTATTATCATTATTATTGTATATGACATTATTAGATGTTTAATACTGATGCATGGCAGCTGCTCAAGATGGAGCAGTTTACTTCATACACAGTTAATTAGTTTAGTTCCTTGGATAAATGTGAGGGTTTGTGAGATGATTAATGGGAAAGGAAAGAATTAAAAAAAGTTCTGCTGAACAAATTTGCATTAATATTTAGGCCTTTTCTCTAATCTCTGTGGTTTATGTGAAAGTTTGGATAATTTCTCTTATTTTAGCATTAAATTGTTATTCAAATGAAACCATCTATAAGGTTTAGAGAAGAAATGTATCTCCAAAATAAATATAAAACCTATATAAACACCAGTGTAAATGTAAATCCCAGTAAAAAGGAGAAAGCCATTATAAGTTGTTTTAGTGGAGTAAAAAGTACGAGCAGAAATGTAAAGAGGCATAAAATGGAAATATGTGAATAAACAGGGTTTATAAAAAGGGTTTAAAAATATAATCTAATTAATTACCTTTCAAAAAATTTAGTCAATTACCTAATCCAAGTAGTAATCCAATATTAAAGTAACTTGATTACTTCCCCTTACTTTTAGATTACCTCAACAATGAATATATAAATAAAGACAATAACAATAAAAAGTACTGATGCAAATGTATCCTATAGGACAACAGAACAATGTAACCCTTGAAAAGAAAATGTAAAGATTTCTCGGTGTATTTTTAAAAGAAAAACTGATGTATTTTAAAATTGTAGTCCTACTAAATAATCCCTTTTTGTTGTCACTTTTTCTGCAACTATAATGGATTGCAGTTACCATTTTCTGTATCCTAATTACGTAACTTAGTTACATGTAATCCGTCACTCCCCCAAAACCTGTGAATAAATACTTATGTAATACATACTTAATTACATTCAACCACTGCTGGTGTCTGATTTAAGTTAATTAAAAGTGAAGTAAAGTGAGTGAAACACAGTAAACAGTTAAACAGAGACGATCTTTGTCTCTCTCTCTCTCTCTCTCTCTCTCTCTCTCTCTCTCTCGCTGCAGCCGTTCACGCCCGTTACGTCCCCACGTTGACGTCGACGTCGGCGGGGTCGGAAGTTAACGGCGAGCAGACAGACGGTGATGATGGAGCTCTGTCTGGGCGACAGCGCTCACTATGACGCGAACTGACACTGACCGGCCGCGTTGTGCACACTCCGCTCGGTTGACACGCGATGTGACAGCGGTCTCGAGTCAGATATGACTCGGGATGCGTTAGCTTAGCCCTCATCCATCCCTGCTATAGAGAGAGAGAGAGAGAGAGAGAGAGAGAGAGAGAGAGAGAGAGCTCCAGCAGCAGCAGCAGCAGCAGCAGCAGATCAGCTGATCAGCTGCAGCACCACACAGAGAGCCCGGCGAGGAGAAGATGATGAGGCCTTAAATGTCAGCTCGGCGACGGTGTGTTCAAGCATCAAATACAGGTATTGCTGTCCCTGCATGAGTGTGTGAGAGCTCGGTTTTAGTGTGAGACAGCGGGGAGCTCCACTGCACACTGACCTGACCCTGGTGCTGTATGGTAGACAGGGCACACACACAGTCATTAAACTGTCATAAATGTGATCATGTTGTGTGATCGATACTCTAGGGAAGTGGGTCATTAAGAGACCCCTTTTCTGACATGTTTTAAGGGTATTTCATACTGTATTCAATGCATAACAATAATAACAGTGCAGAATAAACTGCATAATAAACCCAAACAGTGAACACAGTAAGTGCAGGAAGTTTGTGTACATTTATCATTTGGATTCATTTTGGAGCAGATTATTTCCTGTTAGTATTGATCAGAGTTTTCCGGATATTTTTAGGAACTTTTTATACAATAATCTGTCCTTATTTAGTGTTTTCTTCTCTTCGTTGTGTTAGCTTTTTGGCTTTTCTAATGCCGGATGAGCCTGTTTATTATATATGGCTTGTGTTTTCTAGTTTTCTTCACAAAAATGAACATAATTCTGAGTTTGAGGTCTGCTGTGTGTATTTCTTAAAATCAAAAAGGCCTCGCAACCCCCCAGTGAAGCTTCAATGACCCTAGGTGGGGGTAATATGGGCTAGAAGGATGTACAATATGTAAAAGAAGCCACAATGATAACAGTAAAATGACAAAAAAAAAAAGTATAAAACATGTAATTAGACATTTTTAAGAATAATATACAGCAATAAAATGATGAAAAAGTCAAATAACAATAAATTAAAAACTAGTCTAGTCCAAGTGCCCTTGACCAAGATACTGGCTCAGATCTGGACTGGAGTTGGTCCCCGGGCGCCGCACGCAGAATCCAGTTCACCAGCCATAGTGTATGCGACCTGAAAGCAACAAAAACCTAAAAATATTCTGTTTACTGTAAATGTCAGGCAAGGACAAGCAGCAAATTCTTACATTTAAACTGGTTCATTCTCAAAATCAAATCAAATGTATTTATTAAGCACATTTAAAAAAATAAACTATCCTTGTCGACTTAAATGCTGTACAGACCAGAGAAAGGTAGAGAAAATTGCAATTAAGAGAAAAATGAATAAAAAGGAAACGTGGCGCTCTGGAGCAGGCGGGACAAGGAGTGACTGGCTAATCCCAGTATAAAGGGAGTTGCAGTGGTACAGGCGGGAGGATATAAAGGCGTGGATGACTTCCTTAAGATCTTTGAAAAAGAAAAACTACTTAATTTTTTATAATTTCATATCTTGTAAGCATCGTCAGCAATAAATGACAAACTCTTAATTCTCTCTCTCCTGATTGTCTCTGGGCGTTTTAGACGTCTCATTGATGGTCGCTGCTGATCTTCCGCAGACATGGCGTCGCAGCTCCAGGTGTTCTCCTCTCCGTCTGTGTCCTCCAGTGCCTACTCTCGCTCAAAGAGGCTCAAAGTGGAGAACCCGGCCTGGGATGTGTCCAACCAGCTGGGAGACAATGGCTACTACCAGCAGAGCCCCACCCAGGGAACTGCACCCTCCACTTCTGGCTCCAACTTCAACCCGGTGTACAACTCCAACCAGGCGCACCCGCCGACAGCCGGCTCCCGGGAGCAGACGGTGGTGCGGGCGGCGGACAGCACAGGTAGCCTTCGTGGGCCTCCCTCCTCCTCTTCCTCCTCCTCCTCCTCCAGCCGCCGTGTCAAGGATGCCGAGTCCTCCTCCCAGCCGTGCGACCTCTACCACAAGCAGTACAGCTTGAAGCGGAAGAGCGAGGAGGTAGACAGCAGCGACAGCGTCCAGATACTGGAGGAGCTCTCGGCCCCCGTGGTCTCAAACCGCACCGGTGGTGGAGGGGGGACCACCACGGCTCAGTCCATAGCACATTCCACTTCTACCACGAAGAGCAGCAACTCCCACAGCGAGGGCGACTACCAGCTGGTCCAGCACGAGATTCTGTGCTCGATGTCCAACAGCTACGAGGTGCTCGAGTTCCTGGGACGCGGCACCTTCGGCCAGGTGGCGAAATGCTGGAAGCGGGGCACAAACGAGATAGTGGCAATCAAAATCCTGAAGAATCATCCCTCTTATGCTCGACAAGGTCAAATTGAAGTGAGTGTGTTGTGTTTAAAGCGTTAAAAACTCCACCTTTTCTCATTCTTTAACCCTCTGCAGCAGATTCTCAGATAGGATGGATGATAGAGAGGAGAGAAAGATTCCTATGTACTTGAATTGCGAACGTTCACGTCATCAAGATGGTTGTAGGAGTACAGAGTTGGTCTTGTGAGGATTCAAATAATGAGCATTGACAATATAATAATGATGTTAATCAGATCTGTGTTTAAGAACACTGAACAATGGTCTGATTTGAGGCATCCAGTCATAGTCAGATATATATTAGAGCTTTCTGAAAAATCCAAGTTGTAATTACGACTGGAAAGTTGATGTGAACACTATTTGCAAAGAACGATAACTCTGATAACTCTGACTCTTTTCGCTTGTTTCCCCCAAAGCATTATGGGAACTGATGATTGTCCCAGAACATGAGAATCCCAAACAGAAGTTTGGAAAATACAATAGGAACTTTTCTTATTTTCCTTCTCTTCATTGGTTTCTTCGACTGAACTACGGCTCAACATGGTTGGAGACACTTCCCTCCATTTTTATACAGACATCTGTGTTGTGTTGAACCCCTGTGGACGTACAGGCAAAGACTCAAACTGGGGAAAATTATGGCATTTCCAAGTCCAGCTTCTCCTGAAAATAACAGTGTTTGTTTTTGGCAGAAAGGCACTGGCAGGGCGCTGAGTGAAAAAAAAAAAAAATTAACAGAGGGTTGACTGGACAGCTAACAACGCGTAGGGTGATAAAAGCACAGCACTCACAGGCAGCGTTCAGTGTCTGACTGATTTGGTCCCTCAAATGGGTTTTTCTGTCTCAGTTATGATCAGGTAGGACATACACAGCCAGAACAAGCTTCTCCTCCATTATCTCGGTTTCCAGGGTGACGATATTATTGCCTGAAAAGGAGCAACGCGTTGCCTTTTCTCTAGGCGACTGCATGCTGTCGCATACGCTCTTTCCTTATTGGAAACAATTGAAAAATGATGCTGGTGCTCCAGAAAAAAAAGCCTAAATCCTAAGACATAGTGACTCAGCTAAAGGCCTGTAAATAAAGGGATTCAAAGGGTTAAAACACAAAACATGTTTAGCTGACAATGTCTTCATTATAATTGATTAATGAGCTCAATTATACCTTCACCCTCCTATTTCTCCTCTCCTGTAGGTGAGCATCCTTAGCAGGCTGAGCACAGAGAACGCAGACGAGTTCAACTTCGTCCGCTCATACGAGTGTTTCCAGCACAAGAACCACACGTGCCTTGTGTTTGAGATGCTGGAGCAGAACCTTTACGACTTCCTGAAGCACAGCAAGTTCAGCCCCCTGCTGCTCAAGTGCATACGGCCTATTCTGCAGCAGGTCGCCACCGCACTGATGAAGCTGAAGAGCCTGGGGCTGATCCACGCCGACCTGAAGCCTGAAAACATTATGCTAGTGGACCCTCTGAGGCAGCCGTACAGAGTGAAGGTCATTGATTTCGGCTCTGCCAGCCACGTGTCCAAAGCGGTTTGCTCTACCTACCTGCAGTCACGATACTACAGGTGAGGATGTTAGCTTAGACTGTACAGTAAAGGCTTTTATTGGGTTTGTCATATGTAAATTGGCTGTACGATCCTGTATAAATTGTTCTTGCAGAGCTCCGGAGATCATTCTGGGCCTTCCTTTCTGCGAAGCGATCGACATGTGGTCTTTGGGCTGTGTCATTGCTGAGCTGTTCTTGGGATGGCCCCTTTATCCTGGTGCCTCAGAGTATGATCAGGTAAGCTACAGCACTGTCATATATATATTATATACTTTAAAGTGACATTTATTGTCTTTTTTAATAGGAAAGATTCTGGCCCACCAGATTCCATTGACAAACCACTCGTTTTACCTCTCAGATAATTGCAGAAACTGGACAGACACAAAATAAAACTCACCAAAATCTTCTTCCAAAGTCTTTGTTAGTCTTTCCACCGTCTTTCCAACAATCACCAATGCTGAATTGATGCCTAATAGATAAAGACCTTTTGTTCAAGGTCTATCACTCGCCACCAGACTCCATTGAGAGAACTGATAATTTTACCTTGCACATCATTGTAACATGTAACTTCATTCAAAGTGGAAAATAAACAAAATAAAACTCACCGAAACCAATCACCAACTCCGGTTTGGTGGAAATAAATCCTTAATGCACTGAGTTAGGTTAGAAAAACAGCCGTTTCAGTCGCTCTCCTCAGTGCCAATAACTGCACACAGCCTGACACTGCTCAGGGATTGAAACAGGGAGGTAGTGTGACGTCATTCTCTGCTCAGGACGGTTTTACTTTACTAAATATTTTCATAGGAAATAGTTGTTTGCTGCTATATTATTGTGTATATATATATGAAACATTTTAATAATGTTAAAGTCACACGTTTGGTGATATGTGACAGTTTAACTAAAATAATCACTTATCAGACTGTTAGCATATTTCACTTTTTTACTTGAATCTAATGCGTAAACCATGAAGACCTCATTCAGAGGCTGACACAACCAGCCTTCAGGTGTTATTAACTGTATAAACTGCCAGTAAAGGTTTTTTTTTGTCTTACATTAGCAGCTAACTTTCCCCCCATTCTCTCTCTCAGATTCGTTACATTTCCCAGACCCAGGGCCTTCCAGCAGAGTACCTGCTGAGTGCGGGAACCAAGACCAGCCGCTTCTTCAACAGAGGTCCTGACTCGAGCTACCCCCTCTGGAGACTCAAAGTGAGTGACCCTGCAGAGGTTGGTCCACAAAGAGAACACTCAAAATATACAGTACATATATACTGACGTCCTGCTGTGGTTATTTCTCCGCAGACACCCGCAGAGCACGAGGCAGAGATGGGCATCAAGTCCAAGGAGGCGAGGAAATACATCTTCAACTGTCTAGACGATATGATGCAGGTGAGGAAGGATCCTGCAGTAATATTGTTGCTGGTTGTTTCACAGCACAGCACGATTGTACCAGGACCTTTTACATATTGCAGGTTGACAAACACCGACCTCCTGTCCCTCTGCAGGTGAACATGACAAACCTGGATGGGACCGACATCCTGGCAGAGAAGGCCGACAGGCGGGAGTTCATCGACCTGCTGAAGAAGATGCTGACGCTGGACGCAGACAAACGGATCACGCCCATGAAGACACTGAACCACCCCTTCGTTACCATGACACACCTGCTGCACTTCCCTCACAGCTCACAGTAAGGCAACAAGTTCATTTCTATACTTTCTGTGAATGATCGCTGTTAGTTTCCAGGGTCCCGGCCGTGTTCATGTTTGATTAATTGATTTTTGAATGTTATTTTATAGTGTGAAGTCCTGCTTCCAAAATATGGATATATGCAAACGCAGATGCAGCGCCTTTGAGAACGGAAAAAACATGTTTGCTAGCAACAATACCCCAAGTGCAGCCACCAACCTCACTGTCACCTTCAGTAGCCAACTAAACCAGCACAATCAGGTGAGAACATCGTCTCCAATCTCTTCATTACATTATTCTTGTTGATCCAGTCTTGTTATATCAGTCGCTTTGTAAAGTGGAGGCTTCTTCGTGTGATAGAGAATGTGAGTTCCTGAAGACGTGCATTTTCATTTATAGTTGGAATACAAGAGAGGCATTTCTGTCAGAAATTACACCAGTAGTGAATCTGTTTAGTCTTGTTTCTCTAGTACTGCACCACTGAGCACATATAAAAGATACAGAGGATTTGTTGGTGACATACAGTTGAATCAATCTGCATTAATGATGAACTCTTATGCTTCAGTACCATCACTTTTAATTGATTTAACTGAGCTGCATATATTTTCTGAAAACTGTAAAAAAGCAAAAGTAAAACAAATTCCTGCTTGTACTGAAGTGGAGCTGCTGTACGTCTGCTGTCGTGTGTCACCATATTGTACACTCTGGGAATTGTCAAATGTTTTTGTTTAGTTAATTTTCGATTATTACTGTAGTGATCTTGCCATAAATTATAAATTCGACATTACACACTGTTTAAAGGGAAACAGGCGTAACATTGTTTCAGTGAAACCGTCTTTTTGCATGGATTGGTAGATTTTGATGAATCGTGCACACCACTCGTAGTCTAACTTCATTTGCTCATAATCACTAATTCTATAACAACAAATGCAGTGGGGAAATAGTGGAAACAATCCTAACACCATTAAAGGACCAATGTGTAGGATTTAGGGGCATCTAGTGGTGAGATTGCAGATTGCGATTGAAACTTTCCCAAACACCTTGCTCCAGTGTCACTACAGTATCTTTTGTGTTGATCTTTTTTGGCTGCTACTTTTGTCAATAAGTAACTGTACATTAAGGCTACAAGAGCTTCCAAATGGAGTTTGTTGACCATATATGACATTCATGTTCGAATTTAAATGAGTCTCTAACTGCAGGTGTGGATGTGGAAGACAGTGTTTGAACATTGCTGGTTGCCTGAAATTATGCATATGCATGTTTGATAAATACCAGTTGTACTTGTTCCTACGCATACTTTGAGGCTGCAGTACTTTCTTGCTGAACTTATCTCATCTTTTCAGCCATTGAATACGGTGTTTCCTGCATGTTGTGTCTTACAGATGGCCTCTACAGGAGGCCAGTCCCTGTCCCTCAGCAGTAACGTCCCGTTGCTGAACTACCAGCCTGGCCTCTACCAGCAGGCCACCATAAACATCCCTGGTCTAACCCAGCAGGGCGTGCCTCTGCAGACCAGACCCACCCAGCTCTGCACCCAGACTGAACCCTTCCAACAAACACTCATTGTTTGCCCGCCCACCATCCAGGGTGAGAATGCAAGATGTTAGTGTCATGAAAACCAATCTCATATCACATTTAGCTTGTAAAATGTAGAAATTTTGATCTGTTATTATTAATTTGCCCAACTAGCAACAAAGGAAATAAAACTGATATTTTGCTTTTGTGCACTTAACTTCATAATCCCTTAATGTCTTATATTTTAAATGTAGTATTGCATTTGTATACATTTGTCATTGATATGAGATAATATGCCTCCATATTTTCCTTACAGGTCTTCAAACATCCAATAAGCCCTCTGGTTATCCAGTGAGGATGGACAACTCAGTACCCTTAGTTCCTCAGAACCAGTCATCCCAGTCTCTCCACATCCAGCCCGGCATGCTGGCACAGGTAGGACCCACTGCGCCAGGGTTGGGATAATGGAATGTAATTAAGTACATGTACTCAACTGCAATCTTGAGGTACTTGTTCTTTACACTTGTACTCCTCCTGTAGCCACTAGTTACTGTACAGATTAGGATTTAAAATATAAAAACAGAGGCTTATAAATCTACTGTATTATTAAAGATTACACTTGAGGATGTGCGTGTACAGACTTGAAACTGTCATCGAGCCTGTTATAAAGTTACTGATTTACCAAACTACAGTTTCATTTTGGTATTTTATTATCTGCTGCTGGTGAAATTTAAACCAATGAAACTGACAGTCAGTGCAGGTAAAAATGAGCAACTGCTACCAGAATTAGCACATTGCTTATTAAAGACAAGCGAGTGAAGAGAGATAAAATATTTAATAAGAGATTTGTTATCCTCGGAGCTTTGTGAATCCAGGAAGGAGCCAGATGGAACCGGCTATCCGGACCCAACCCCAGTGACCCTCTGCGTCTGTACTTTGGTTTGTGTACATGTGGTTGGTCATGTATTTGTTGTTTTTTCTTCAATGCAAAAAAACATTTTCTCTCTTCACAAAACTCTATTATTCTTGTTCTGGTGTTAACTAACTGAAGTCTTTATCCAAACCAAAGACTCCCTCTTATTTAGGATGCAGTAGAATATGGAGCAGGTCTGTTCCGGATGAGTCCTCTCAGTTTGTTTTGATGTCCTAACACCTCCACTCCTTTCACCCTCACACCTCCTCCCAGGCCTCCCTCGACCCCCTGCTGGTCAGCAGCCTGTACGCCTCAGTGGCGGGAATGCCGCGTTTAGACTCAGTCCGGCTGCCAGTTGGCTGCGGGCGTGAAAGCCTCAGCGGCTTACTGGATCAGAACGCTTCCATGCTGGTAAAACACCAACATCACAACTGCTTCCTTCCTTCCTTTCTCCGAGCATGTGTATGTCAGCGGTGTGCAGCAGGACGTGGGATCGCATGTGCAACTCACCAGTCTGGTTTCTGCTTTTGCTTGCAGCTTCGGGGTTGCACCAGCTGGTCTTTACTAAGCCTGGTCCTAACTGCTGAGTCAGTTTTCAAGTTACAAATGACTTTAGATTAAGACGAGGGCTAAACCAGGCCTCAGATGCATAAAAATGTAGATTCACAACTAAAACTGTGTGTATGCACAAAGACAGCAATATACACACGTCACATTAATAAAACTGTACAGACTCCTGGTTCTGTTTTATAAATGATGACTTAAATGTAAATAAAAAGAATGATGACATTCATAACATTTAGCTAGAGATTAGAAGAATATCTAAAGCTTGTTGCCAGAGAGGTGTGTACTGTATCTGCTTTGTTACCAATGTCCATTAACAGATTACTTCATTTCAGAAGGTTATTTTCACATTAAAGTATACTCATTACATTTACTCATCTCTGACTATAAAACATGGTGCAGTGTCAATAATAACATTGTTAAATCACCAAAATGTGAAACTATTCATTCAAAAGCCACACTGCAGCCTCTAGTGAAAACACATTTTTGTAAATATCAGAAGTCATTAAAAACATTTATAGAAATTACACAGAAAGCTAAATAATCAGTTCAAAATTGGATCCACATTTTCACTTTTTAACCACCATGTGGAGAACGTTTGCGCCTCCTAGTGGTAGATTAAAAAAAGGCACACTGGAGTGGGCAGCAGTGAGACCAGCGTTGTTGACGCCTTCATTTCTTTCTGTCCTTACCTCAATACTGACACGTTCCTTTCAGGTGGGCTGTCTTCTTTCTGGACCCTTTCTGATTTTCACTGCGGGGGACTGTATGACATGCATGAACCTGAGTGAAATGTTTGTTTCTGTCTTTTCTTTAAACCTGGTTTTGTATTTAATGCTTCGTAAGTCACGTTTCCTTCTGAGCAGTAACAAACGCAGTCCTCTACAGAGGAATAGATGGTGACCACTCGACGTCATCTCGACTTTTGTTCAGCTGTCAGTGTGTCAGGGCTTAGTTTTAATGTGACATCTGCTGGATGTCTTGGTGTAGGACTGAGACGGGGATGTCTACAAACTGCATGTACTCACGTGACTTTTATTTCTCTAAGAAAAAATCTCCGACTTTTATTCTGCTATGGTTGACTCATTGCACTTTCTTCTCTTCTTTAAGTGTCTCTGCTGAAGGAACTTGGACCAAGTACAATTTTCTAACATGCATTTGTGTATCTGTGTGTGCATACAGCAGGGCTGGCCAGCAGGCACACAGCAGATCCTCATTCCTTCCACATGGCAGCAGATGCCAGGGATGGCCATCCATAACCCTGGGCAGGCTGTAGTGCCCGACTCACCCATGGGAGCCCCTATCTCCGACAGTCAACAGGCTTCTGGCTGGAGGTGAGTTTAGTCTTAACAGGACTCTGTGTCCGCATGCTGCATTTAAAGCACAGTGTCAGGTCTTGATGGAAAGTTTAGTTAATGCGGACAGAAGTGATGCGGTTTACAATAAGCAAGTTAAATCTGTTCTTTCTTTTTAATAGGGGTCGTCATGGAAGCCAGTACGATGGCGTCAGCCAGCAGGACTCTGGTGTTGGCCGTCACGCTGCCTCCCAAAGCCACAACTCAGGGGCCGCTCACTCAAGATCCCAACAGGGCAAAAGGTCAAAGGCTCGACATGCAGAGAGCAGAGCCAGGTATCCTGTCAGACTGTCATACATTCACATTATCTACATGTTGTTTGGGGGGGGTCGGCCATAAATTGTAGTGTTGGTGGTTTGATCCCTGGCTTCTCCTGTTCAGTTGTTCAAAGTGGGAGCGACACAGTAAAGCTGCAGGGATTTTCATTAAACCACAGGCCTTTTTCACAGCAGACATTTTGATAGTCATAGTAAGTAAAACACAGGTGTTACTGATAACATTAATGATGGAGTATAATTGTGACAGTGGGCCTGCCTGCACAATATCAGGACCCTGAAGCCTGATATATCTTAGCCACACATTAAAAGCTACACTGTTGCACTGGATGGCACGTTCCTCATTACCATGGACACACACACTGTACTTTGTTTTGACTCAATACCACGTACACTGAACTGCTGTAACAAGTGCTCACTGACTAGAACACCAAATGTGTATTAATCCCCAACAAATACACTGTTGACTATAATATATGTACCCTTTTAAAATATTTATGTATTCATGACCTGTTTACAGTAAGAACCAGTATGCTGAGCCACAAAGTGTGGGGAAGTTAGAAAGTATTGTACATTTTTCACAGAGCCCTTAAATTGCTCTCAATGTGTGTGTAAAAAGCATTCATTGCTCAAGGTTTTTTAACGCAAGTAGAAGCTTTAAAGAACATTAAATGCAACATAAATAGATCTATTTTCTCAGCTCACTATGGAGATTTTGAATTTGTAATCAGGCAGTGAAAGAGCACCTTTGTCCCCCCCCCCAGGCCTGTGTCGTCAGTGCATCCGGCCACCACTGTGGTCCACAACACCTCTGCTTTTGCTGGCGATCAGTCTCAGCCCATCGTCATCTCTGACACACCCAGTCCTGCTGTCAGCATCATCACCATCCACAGCGACTCAGAAGACGAGGATGACAGGAAGTTCCCCGCTGCCTGGTGAGCTCATTTCCTCTGTACGACCGAGAGGTTACATCCTGCTCAAACGGTTATTTACGCCTTCCTTATTCTCTCCTGCAGTTCTGGAACAAGCCAGAGGACCAACGTGATCAGCTGTGTGACGGTACACGACTCCCACGACTCCGACTCCTCCACCAGCAGCCCCCTGAGCCCCAAGACCACCTCCCAGCCCACCAAGTCTCTGGCCATCATCATGCCATCTGTGAAGAGCCAGCCAGGAGAGAGCACAACCCACAAAGCTCCAGCAGCTCCAGGTCCTCGAGAGATCCACATTTCTTAAATTCTGTCCAGCCATGAATATCATTGTCTAGACTTCATATGTATTTATTTAGTTTTTTAATGACGACATGTGGTTGCATCAAATGACCTCAGGTTAATCAACATAAATCCATTTGACTGTATTGTAATCTATACTCTTCTTAGTGCTCACAGTATTCTGGTTTTCACTGGTAGATCAAGCTACAAGTGGCTCTGGAAAGTCCAAGAAGGGGTCAACTCAACAGTCTAGTCGGCCAGGAGATTCCAACACCGATCGCCATCAACGGGCTGCATCCAGCAGATCTCAGCCTCTTAACCTGAGTCAGGTAATGTAGCTGATGTCTGCTCGCAAGGTGAACCCTCGCTCCAGGAAGTTAGTATCAGTAATAGTAGCACTATTTGTGCAATTTTCAGTTTCTTTGCAAAAAAACATCTCCACATTCATTGCAATTCTTTTTAGAAAAATCTGCTGTTATGCCAGGCATTTTAGGCCACAACAATACCACAAAATCCTGGAGGGACTGCAATACCAGCACCACATTTCCAGTTACTGTCACAGTGCCCGTTAAGACTGCGAGTGTGTTGAGGTTAATCCAAGCACACACACTTGATCTCAGGCCATATTGTCACTCCTGCAAATAAATGGCTCAATTGAGCTCAGGCGCTGTTGCTTTTATTTAATTTGCACACGAAGAATAAAGACGTCAAGTTTATTTAAAGGTCACATTTAAAAACACTGACCAAAGTGCTTTACAGAGACATTAAATAAAACACGGGAACAATCACATAAAACGAGGATATAAGTAGATAAATAAAAGCATAGAATAGCATCATAAAAGCATAACAAACAGCATTGGGCACACAGTAAAAACCAAAGTGTGGTCATAAAAAAAAAAGACACATTTCAAAAGGAGTCAATAGAGGGGGAAGATCGTCAGTGGCAAACAACTGAGAATACTCCATCACTTTTGGTTTTAACTGGGCTAACATGGAGAGCAGTGCTTGGTCAGCAGATCTGAGGGGTCGGGAGGTGGGCAGAGGATGAGTTACCTGGTGCCAGTCCATGCAGTGCTTTAAAAACAGATACAGTTAATTCATTCTGTACTTCACTAGTGGTGAAGGCACAAGTAGCATCAATCATTACAGGTACAATCTGATTGATGAACATTTTTAGGTAACTATTTCTCAAAATCGTTGATAATGTAAAAACAACTAACTCACTGTTGTTCAGATATGCAATATAATTTGAATCATCACATGAGGTATATAAAGTATAGATTTTTTATCCTTTTATTTTGATTAAGGGAGACGCCTTTCTGCTGGTTAAAACAGCAGAGCCAGAGCACCAGGATACTTGTGTCTCAAGCTATGAGACTGAATGACTGATGATGAGTGATGTGAATTGTTGGATAGACTGATCTCTGAATACTGCTGTGAAATATTTGGATAAATGTGCTTCAAGTGCACGTCAGGTGTACTGCCTGTTGGTATTTCTCAGACATGGGACACACTAAGGGCACGTTCACACACCGTCAGATAAGCAAGCGTGTCCCACGTCAGATAAATACCAACACACTTAACCCACATTTAGAGCTGTGTATCCCATAAGTCACCACAGTCTACTGCACCGGACTTTGCTGTAGTGCTCCATGAGCTGGTTTTAAGATCAACGTTAATCAATAGACATAAAGAAGTTTAAGTAGTTGGTAACTTCTATTCAAAAATAACTTTTGGTCACATTTCCTGGAACTTTCACTACATACTGACAGTAATACATGAGGTAGATAATCTGTGATTGGTTGGTTGCTTTCGTTCAGACCCGATGGATTCACAGGAACATAATCAGTTCACATATTATCTGTCTTATCTACTACTGTTGGGTTATAGTGAAAGTTTCAGCAAATACGGCAAAAAAACAATTTTTATACACGCCACCAGAAACGTGTCACACAAGTTGACTACTCACTCAAGTCTAGGTCTTGGGATGGGGCGGACCCTAGAGACCAGCGTTCTCTGTTGTTTCAGGTACAGCAGTCTGTGATGTCGTCATCCCTCGACCAAACAGGAAGCAGCGGTTCCCTGAGGCGGCAGCCGACGTACCCCCCTCCCGTCTCCTCCCACTCATCCTACAACACCCTCTTCAGCTCGACCCCAAACCTGTACGCCTACCCCGCGTCCGCCGCCCTGGCCTCCGTGTCACAAGCCGTGGACCAGATGCAAGGCGGCTCGTCCCGTAACAGCAGGGCGAGCGGAGCGTACTCCTCCCTGGCACTGCTCCAGAAGAACGGCAGCCTGGCCCTGGGAGGATCTGCTGCGGGACAGTATGGCGGCGGCGGCGGCGGCAACAACAACAACAACAACCAACCGCAGCAGCAGCAGCAGCAGCAGCAGCAGCAGCAGCTGGGAGGGCAGCCTTTCCACCACGCCAGTGCTACTTACCAGCGAAAACTCAACCAGTATCCCTACCTGTAAAAGACTGACGGCTGATTGAGACAGAAGCATGAAGACCAAATGGAGACCGAGACTAGAGAGGAGCACAAGCTCATCACGGGCGACTGTGACTTGTTTTCAACTCGACTTTTACACTTTCTTTTACTGTCCAGTCCTTATTTTCGCTGATTGTTTTTGGATAAAATAATCACGGAATGTATTTATATTTTAATCATGGTCAGTTCCTTTTTTTTTTTTAAATCTGTTCCAGAGTTTCTTTGAGTTGCATAGAGCATGTTAACAGCGAGCAGTCTGTAAGTATCTGAACAGTGACACATTTCTTGTTGTTCTGTACTCCGGTACACCGCTTAAACTTTCAACTTTAATTCAAAAGCATTTAAATGTACAAAAAAAAAAAGTACGAATTGTAGCCCTTTTTATATAAACAGTCCCCAAGTTCAGGGGGACAAACTTAAAGTTGAGAACTCTACTTACAGACTGCAACGTTAAATTGATTTCTCTCATGTTAAGCCCCAATTTTTTGTGTTTTAAAGAGAAACTGGAACTTGCTGCTCTCTACTACTATTATTATATTATTATTATTATTATCATCATCAGAATCAGAATCATCAAATAATTGTTTAAAAGGTTGCATTTACATACACACGATCGCCTTACTCATTTAGGCCAATGTCTCTTATTTTAAACTTTAATATGTCAGCACGTTGTGATAAGTTAGATGAATATGTTGTGTGTTTCATTTATGAATGTAACTGTGTGTTTGTTATCTGTATTATGAAAAAAAAAAAAGTAAGCTATGTACTGTACTGTATAATGATGTGTCACTGTGTTCTTCAAATGTTTTCCATTCTGTTTTAGTACTGGCCGCTGACTTGATTATATTTATGTGTTCAGTATGTTGAACGATGCAGTACGGTTCAGCGTATAGAGTATAGGGTGTGCTATCTAGAGGAGATTGTTTTTTTTTTTTTTTTTTTACAGTTTCTTAAGGTTGCATGTGTCTTACATGGAGTAGCATTCAGGGCAGGTTCGTAAACTGCAGCTTCACCGATTAGAAGGATTATCAGTGTTACGTTTGATTTGTACGACGAACACATCAACGATATTGGGAAAATGTAAAAGCTCTTGTCCTGTGAAGTGATGTTTGTGAAGTAAAAGCGTGCGCATCAAATCTGATTGGGGTTTCACACAATCATGTAAAAGTCCAAGCCATTTAGATTGCAGCTGTAAAACTCACAGTAATGCATTTGAATTGTGAATAATCAAATCTGACAGAAGATGATTTATAAAAAGATACAAATTGATGTTCAGTATGTAACCGCTTCTAAACAAATCATTGGTTTGGTGAAATTATGGTTGTCCTGCTGTGTTGTGAAGTGCTACATTACATAGAACACACAATGAACCTTAACCCGTATATACGCAATAAAATCTTCTTAAAAACAGAACCAGAACTTGGGACTCATTGATGATTCAAAATGGAAGAATCTTTTTCACATTAACAGGTTACACAATCTCATATACACATTCAAATTAAACACAGGGCTGCACTTAACCACTATTTTCATTATCAGTCAATTATTTAATCAATCGTTTGGTCTAATGAATGTAAGGAAAAAGTGAAAAATGTACATTTATATCTGTCGGACAGTGTCTGGTTTTATCCACCCAAAGATACAGTTTTTAATGACTTTAAAACTAAAATCATCACTCTGTGAGAAGCTGCAATTGGAGAACATTTGGTTTTTATGCTTGAGCAATGACTGATATTATGAAAATAGTTGAGCCCATCAGCACTGTTACAGCTAACAGCACCCAAGTATAGCCTCACATGGCTGCTGGCATGGCAGTGTACTCTAGGTTGAGAGAAAATGCCATACATTTACTCAATGACTTCTTAAATCTGAATATTTGCTGTTTTTCTAGGCCTATATGATAGAAAATTGTGTATCTTTGGGATTTGGATAATTTTTACAGACAAGAAACTTGTTGTTATTTCACTTATTTTCTTACATTTTATTGACATAAAGAGTTAAATTGATCTGTTATTTGCAGCCCTAAAAAAAAAAAAAAAAACTAAAAAGGAGCTGTTTAATTGATAAGAAATATTTATTGTTTACCAGTATATTTGCAATACATTTTATAAAGCTGTGTCACATTCTATTATCATAAATCTTATCTTACAATTCAAAACAGGACCGAGGACAGAGGAGCCTGTAGCAGGATCCAAACACGCCACAGGTTACTGGAAATCTCAACAAAATGAAGGAATTTAACTCCACAGTTCGTTCATGCATTTGAAAAAAAAAAAACAAGGTGCAGGTGGAATTGTAACCAAGAGCATTTGAAAAAATCTACCAGGTAAACATGATGAAGAGCGAGCTGTCTATCCTTTGTGAACCCAGATAAGGACACCCAAGACCTGCCTCTTACTATACGTAGTAAAAGGAGGTTCAAACCTGTGCAATGATCCAAATTATAATCGGTCAAATAAATAAATCCATCTGTATCCACATCTTAACACGAGGGTGAATCAGACTGCTAGGCCTTTAACCACAGGAGACAGTTTGACCTGACACACACAGGTGTCAAATCAGTGACACCCGTGCTTTTCCTTCAATAAGTCAAAATGTTTGCTGTGAAAAAAGCTCATATATTAATCTCTTTGCCTACATTTTGTATTACTCGGACAATAAATTATTAATGAAAGTCTGTGCTAAGTAGGATCTTTGTACGTTTTTTTTTGTTTTTTTGTTTTTTTTTTTACACAATCAATACCCTGTTTATAAGTAGAAGGACGGATACTAACTATTATAGAAAGTAGTGGAAGTGTACACCGCTAATGAGTAAGCTTCACCTTTTGAATTTGGGGGAATGAAGTGGTATTTTGTGCGTCACCAATAAACTGTTTATGACGATACGATATGTCTATTAGGGTGGTTCCTTTCAGCAGCGTTATATTTATTTTCAGAGGCATTGGTATGTGACAATTAATATTTACAGCTAAAGAACAACAGATCCTGCAGAACGAATAGCTCGCCTAGCTGCGCCGTCTCTCTCACTACCGCACCGGGAAAACGGGGAAAATCTAGTCAGGGTTAAAATTCCTCATATACACACATTTCACGGTATTACACACAAAGAAATTTGGAGTTGCTGCGGTGCCTCAAATTCACGGAGAAGCCCAACATTTAAAAGTCGTAAAAGTCCAATGGCACACAGAAGGCAGACCATGTTAACGGTGATGGCTGGCAGACAGTCCAGGGCTGAAGGAGGGACGTATGCGTTTTAGTCAGCAGTGAAAGAGGCCGTTAAGGCTAGGCTTTTTAAACACACAATTGCACACTAGATCATCCTAAAATTAGGCTGGGCCCCCTCCTCAGGCTTGTCCCTGTAGCAGATGGAGAATGAGAGAGAAGAGGGGGCTGGGGCGGCGTTTGCGTTTGTCTTCAGAACTCCTCGTGAACATTTCGGGCGTAATCCATGAGCTTGCTGCCCGTGAAGTATTCGCTGTACTTGAGAATCTCGTCCAGCTCCAAGTTGTGATTCTGGTTTTCATCTGCGACCGCAATCATCTGCCTGGCCTCGTTCAAAGCGTTGTGCTCGTTCATGGGGTCCATGTACTCCTGCACGCCACGCGAGAACAAGACATGTCAGGAGAAGAACGTTGACGGTACAGTTAGAAAGAAATTGTAGGTGTTTTTATGGTGGTTATACAGTGGTTCCCAACCTTAATTGAACCCCAAAAAATATACTACACAGTAGGCCTAAATCTCAGCATTTCGTTAATTTCTTTGAAGAAAACGAAATGAAATTGTTATTTTTAAAGTTTAGATTATCATTTAGGATCTAAACTTTGAAGACCTGAACATAAACTACATTCACAGAGCCTTCACTCTCTGGTAAACACAGAAGAAAACACTGAATTTGTCTATTAAGAAGGCTACTAAGTATGATTGTTAAAAATTAATAAACATAATAAAGTTCCTAAAAACATCAGTAAAACTCACAGGAAATAATCTGCTCAAAATTCATCCAAATCATTTAGTTCACTCAGTTATTGTGTTCACTATTTGGGTTCATTATACAGTCTATCAGTAGTTCTGCACTGTCATTGTTATACATTGAATATAATATGAAAATCTATAAAAATGTGTCCCTTGGTTGTCAGGGGTCCCCTTAAGGAAAAAAGGTTGGGAAGTGCTGTTTCAGTAAACTGGATCCACAGTGACCAATCAAACGAGACCTCTCACCTCCAGTTCATCCATGGTGACAATGTTGTCACGGTTTGAATCAATGACTTCCTCAAACTCCTTCTTCCTCTCCCGAACCCAGTCGTCATCGATGTCCTGAGCCTGCTGGTTCTCCACGGTGCCCACGGGTAAGGAGATGAACTCCGACAGCGTCAGTTTCTTATCACCGTCCTGGTCTACAGGCAAAGCACAATGAACATCTCATTTTTACATAACGAGCATCATCGCAGATTATAACTCAAATACACGTCCACAATAATCTTTATTACATAAACAGATATTTGTTGATAGAGAACTATCTGTCTGAGGCAAAATGCCAACAGGTAGCAATAATACTCGGCAGAACTCGTTCGTGGCGACAGCGTGACCTAAAAGTGGGTAGAAAGTAGGAAGATGTTTATATAACCAAGTAACCCGTTGCCAATCTGGGGCAGGCAGAATAAACTAAGCCATATAAAACCTCCCACCAAACTGACAAGTTGAACCGGCTGCCGCAGGGCAGAGCGCCCCGGGCCTCTAACAGCGGGATGAGAGGATGGTCCACACATCCTTTCCGACTGCATCAGCAACACTCTGCTTTAGCGCTGAGGGGCAAGAAGATCACTCTGGGAGGGGTGGGGCACCGTATTATTCGACTATGTAACAGGAAAAGCATGTTGGACCTAGTGCACCCCACACACACACACACACACACACACACACACACCCATAACACACATAACACACACACACACACACACACACACACACCGCCCTGTCCCTCCATCAAAAGTGATTCCCCCCCCCGTTTGTCATGCCTCTTTGCCATTCATCCGACATGAACCTCCGTGTAGAGCCGGGACACGTTCACACACGTTTTGTACTAAATACCAAAGCAGGTATTGGAAATTTATGACTAACTGCAGGATTTTCTGCAGGATTTTTCACCATTGAATCAGACAGCTCTGTCTCCAGGGCTGGCACACAAAGTGCTAAAACCAAGTGTGGAGATAAGTCTGGCTGTGAGACTAGGCTTTATCTGAAGGGACGTGCACACACGCATCTCTGAAATGACCTGTGACTGGTCTGGAATCCCTTATACATTTTTTAAAGCGTGAAAACAGAGCGAGGAAGAGGTGCAGAAGTCTCTCTCTCTCTCTCTCTCAAACTCCTTGAATTACAATACGCTGAAAGGTTACTATAGATTTTTCCATTGACACCAAACCAAGTGACCTAAATAGGTCAAGAACAGAATTCCCTCTGCATGAAAACACAGAAGACGTTGCTATGATATGAAATTAAATCCAACACATACAGTTCCATGTTAAATATCTTAAAGGGTGTACATATGTAAGCTACTATAATCAATAGTCTTATATTAGCAATGGACCAGATAACAATGCGTATGTGTCTCAGTTTGGCAGCCTGCGACTTTACTGTGTCGGTTCGCTCTCAACGCTCTCGTCAGCGTGACGTCCAGCAGCAGCAGGAAGCTGTTTTCAAAGAAAAGGCTCTCTCTGTGCACTACCTCCTGAGCAACCTACTTCACAGACAAGATTAGCGAAGAGCTGGTGAACATAGTAGAGTATTTAGCAGCTAAAGAGACAGATATTTCCCGCAGATCAACTACAGGAGAGTCAATATTTAAATTACATTCATTACACAGCCAGATCATCACTCTTAATGCTAATGTTTCTCTGTATCAGCTGGATGTGTAAATAAGCTGCTGTTTGCTAACAACTCTGCTAAAGCTGATCGCATGTCAGTGTTGTGTTAAGACAGTGAAGCTCGTGGTTCAGACATCGAGTGAGTAAAACGCACCTAAGTCACGCACTATCTCCTTGACCATGTATTTGAGCATGCCTCTGCTGTGCTCAGGATGAAGGAAAGACAGGAACTCTTGCTCATTCAGCAGCTGGTCAGCTGGGGGGTTGTCGGCCTGAAACCAGCGGTCCTTCAGGCTTTCCAAAACCTCCTGAGCTGCAATGAGGAAGATAAAAAAAAAAAACTCAATTATATGGTTACCTAAACAGATTTTAACTAGATATCTGCAGCACATATTCTGGACGTTGTTCTATATAGTTCTATACTTACTTTCCTCGTCCAGTTTCAGATCTTCATTATTCTTTATTTTCTCAGCGATTTCCTTTTCATTGAAACCTTTGCTGGCCAGAAATTTGACTCTGTATTCATCCCAGGTCACGTGACCTATGCAC